GAAGCAGAAAAAGTTGACACTAACATTCTCACTGTGACCATATTATAAACATGTGCTATAAACACCTCGGGTTAGGGTGCCAACATTATTATTTTTGACATGGCACACAGTCACACTTGACATGCTGATTATTGACTTATCAGGTGGGCTCCTTAATAATTGCAGCATGCATTCACAGCATTTGACCAACGATATAAAGCCCTAGGTAGCCGTCACCTACCCTCAGATAATAAATTACTTTAAAACAGGAAAGCAAAATGGCTGAGAAAGGGGAGATGAGCAAGGAAAATGTATGGCTTATTGACTCCTCCTGAGGGGTAGTCACAGCTGGAGGGTGGGAAGCAGTTTGAGGAAGAGTTGTGACAGGTATGCTGACTGTGCGGCTGCCTCATGCCGCCTGTCCGGTTGACTGTGCGGCTTACTGTCCGGCCATATCAGACCTCCTGTCTTTATAGGACCAGAGCAGGTTACACGGGGAGAGGGGGACAGAGGTACACCGGGAGCAGAGCAGGCCTTGGAAATTCTGAAAAATAAAGCATATGTCTCTTAATGTGGTTTCTTACAGTTAGTCATACAAGGTGATCATTAACACCATGTTTACTTTATAAGTACAGTATTTCAACTGGGGTTAAAAATATTATTTTGGTTGTGAGTTGTTTGTTTTAAAATAAAATAGTTTATTCGACCAATCTTCGCATAAAATAGTCATGTACCATGATATTAATTCAAAAATACCCCCAAACATTAACAAATATAATACAAATAACAAACTATATTACATCCGTAGTGATAAGGACTACCATAGAGAATGAATGGGAAAAGTTAAGGAAGTTAAGGACTACTCCGGGATTCAATTCCCCGACGGGGAGGCAAACTTTTTTATTTTATTTATTTAAGAAAATCCGAATTTTACTAAAAAAAAAGAACACTTTTTTGGAGAATCTTGAAGTTCACAGTTTCATGGTAATGTAAAATCGTTGTTTGGAATAGTTGCTCAAATAGCTACACCACAAATACATGCAATCACAAATCTTACAAAACAAATACAGACATGTAATCTATTATTTTATTAATAGCCTGGTTATATTAGACAATTGTTTAACTCTACTTTCTGTATTAACTCAAATTAAGTGGATGGGGATGTAAAGGTCTCTCTCTCAACAGACTGTAAAACCAGAATTTCACCTCGGGATTAAAAAGTAAAATAAAAATAATAACAACCCGTATCCCAGGCAGTAGATCAGCCTGTAGGGACCTAGGTTGGGAACCGAAGGGTCACTGGTTTAAGTCTCGGTGCGGACCAGATCAGGAAGTTTGTCTGGTAGCTGGAGAGGTGACAGTTCCCTTCCTGAGCTCTGCAGAGGTACCCTCAAGCAAGGAACCAAACAGCAACGCCCCTGCATCGGATCCTGTCTGGTATAGGCCTATGTGTTTATTTCTGCAGGAACTTTTTACAGTGTAGAGCTCTGCTGTCAGAGTCCGAGGTTCAGGAATAGGAAGCAGCTAAAACAAACAGGAAATCCTGTGCTGGCCGCCTATGAAACATCTGCTTGACATGTTCACACATCAAGTGGAATAACTCTTAATAGCAGTGGTATAAAATCCTACTTACCATAAATGTATATTTTTAATCATTACATATTTTATCAAAGTCATTTTTACAATTAAAGTACCAGATGATTTTTAGTTTTTTTAAGTTTGAAGATTAGCTGGTGTGTGTGTCTGTGTGTGTGTGTGTGTGTCGACAGTCAGTGTAACTGTCCATCATGAAGATCGTGTTTCTCCTCGTCCACTTCTCAGGTACTCTCTACATATTGCTATTCTTTAATTTTGATGCAGTATTTATAACAGTAGCATTAGCATGGTTAGCTTTGTATATCATTCTTTCACTAAAACTGTAACATGTACTTGGATGCTCATTATGGTTAGCTATCAGTATTGTGGCAGCTTAAAATTTAAAAATGCCGCACAGACTGAGTGGGCCTGTACCTGTGACTCATTCGTATTAAACATTCAAAGTCCAGATATGTTTGTAGATTTATTGAACAAAATAGTGAAAAACTATTTCTGAGCAAAACGGCCAAAAGATGCCCAGATGACCAGAAATGTTTTGCTTCTCAACTCAGACAAGACTGAAGTTATTGTGCTAGGCCCTAAAAACCTCAGAGATACTTTTTCTAATGATATAACTGTCCTAAATGACATCAACCTGGCATCTGTTAGCACCATTATTTGATCAAGATATGCCCTTTACCTCGCACATAAAACTCAAGGACAGCCTATTTTCAGACTATTGTCCCTCATTCATGAACAGCCTGCTCCGACCTCCACCTCAGCGGTAAGGAAGTGTGGACAACAGGAGCGTGAGGAATACAAAGGAGAAATCCTTACTGCATATTATCCTATAGCTCTTTTATCAAGCGTCTCAAGAAAACACTTGTTATAAATCTGCAATATACAAATAATGATCTGTAAATTGCCTATGGGAAGTAGAGCCTTGGGTCATCAGGCCCCTCTCATTTGGAATCATCTACCAGTCAGTGGCAGGTATGGACCAGCTCCTAGGGCTCACAGGTAACCATGTTGCTGACACTGATGCTTCAGTGTTTAGCCAGGTCTGCATCAGTCTGTAAACTTTTCTGCCTTCTAACCTCTCCATTTTTAGGAAGAACTAACCCTAACCCTCAAGAAGGAGGACATACTGGCTGCTGCATTGTTGTCAGAGAAGCCAGCACTTCAACATAGCATGTTTCCTTAATGTCTGATCATACAGTAAGGTCACATTATCATTTCACTCACTATACATCTTACTGGTTGGACCTTTAAACATTCTCAGTTATTACTAGTAATACTCCACCTACTTTACCATTATTACTGAATTAAATGTCGCTGTTGTTTTTGCTGCCCTGTTATTCCCTATCTTCCTACATCTCCCCTTTCCCATTTTTTAAGACCAGCACAGTTTTGGCAGATGGCTGTTTATCATGAGTCTGGCCTTAGATTTCTGCCTCTTTAAGGAAGTTCTTCTTGCCACTGTAACTTTGTTAAATGTTGTTAAGTGCTCGTGATGGATCAACGTTGGGTCTTTGTAGATAACAACAAAGGAAAGGGTCTTATACCTGCTCTTTTGTAAAGTGTCTTGAGATCATCTTAATTTGTATATTGCTAATTCATGTTGATTGATTGATATTCAGTTAGCAAACAAATAAAAAAATCAGAGTACCCTACTGCTCTGTTTTGAGATGGTTCCATTAGGGGGCTAAGGGTGTTCATGGAGGTTACTGAGTGGTTACAGGTTCATCCCCAAGGAAGTTCTTCTTGAGTAACTTGATGTAAGAAAACAAAACAAAAAGGAAGGGTCTTATAGCCTTTGAAAGTGTCTGGATCATAATAATTGCTAAAGGATGTGATATTCATTAAACAAATAAAAAAATCAGAGTACCCTACTGCTCTGTTTTGAGATGGTTCCATTAGGGGGCTAAGGGTGTTCATGGAGGTTACTGAGTGGTTACAGGTTCATCCACCAGAGGGCAGTGTCACATAGAGTAAACCTTGATGTAAGAAAACAAAACAGAAATGAGGACAGAGAAAGTTCATAGTGAAGCCTTTGAAGAGACGATCTGGATTCATAAATAAATGTGCTGAAGGATGTGAGAGTCCGGGATTGTTCTTTGTGGTTACTGAAGATTTATGAGAAGATGGTTAGGGTACTGAACCAGAATCATGTTGAACAGGCAGAAACCTGGAGCAGAACCAGACTCATGTGAAACAGATAGAAACCTGGATCAGAACTAGACTCATGTTGAACAGGCACAAATCTGGAACAGAACCAGACTCATGTTAAACAGACAGAAACCTGGAGCAGAACCAGACTCATGTGAAACAGATAGAAACCTGGATCAGAACCAGACTCATGTTGAACAGGCACAAATCTGGAACAGAACCAGACTCATGTTAAACAGACAGAAACCTGGAACAGAACAAGACTCATGATGAATAGACATAAACCTGGATCAGAACCAGACTCATATTGAATAGGCAGAAACCTGGAACAGAACCAGACTCATGTTAAACAGACAGAAACCTGGAACAGAACCAGACTTATGTTGAATAGACAGAAACCTGGAAGAGAACCAGACTCATGATGAATAGACATAAGCCTGGATCAGAACCAGACTCATATTGAATAGGCAGAAACCTGGAACAGAACCAGACTCATGATGAATAGACAGAAACCTGGATCAGAACCAGACTCATTTTGAATAGGCAGAAACCTGGAAGAGAACCAGACTCATGATGAATAGACAGAAACCTGGATCAGAACCAGACTCATGTTGAACAGGCACAAATCTGGAACAGAACCAGACTCATGTTGAACAGGCACAAACCTGGATCAGAACCAGACTCATGTTGAACAGACAGAAACCTGGAACAGAACCAGACTCATGTTGAACAGGCACAAATCGGGAACAGAACCAGACTCATGATGAATAGACATAAACCTGGATCAGAACCAGACTCATATTAAATAGGCAGAAACCTGGACCAGAACCAGACTCATGTTGAATAGACAGAAACCTGGAAGAGAACCACACTCATGATGAATAGACAGAAACCTGGATCAGAACCAGACTCATATTGAATAGGCAGAAACCTGGAACAGAACCAGACTCATGATGAATAGACAGAAACCTGATCAGAACCAGACTCATTTTGAATAGGCAGAAACCTGGAAGAGAACCAGACTCATGATGAATAGACAGAAACCTGGATCAGAACCAGACTCATGTTGAACAGACACAAACCTGGATCAGAACCAGACTCATGTTGAACAGGCACAAACCTGGATCAGAACCAGACTCATGTTGAACAGTAGAAACAGTAACAACAAGAATCAACTGGCCACACGTAACAATAATCAAAGTTAGTCATTAGTGTTAATTTTTACATTTAAAATGACAGTGGTTAATTTTTTACAGCGTGCAGATCAGCTGTGGTGTGTGAATGTGGTGCATGTGAGGGCTGACAGTTTGTCAGTGTGACTCTGTTCATCATGAAGACACTTCTGCTCCTCGTCCTCCTCTCAAGTAGGCTACTTTATATTTATTTTTTGAGATACTCTTCTTGTTATTTACATCTGCAGTCACTTGGAAAGTCACAATTCAAGCATCAAATAGTTAACCCTTTCTATCAATTATGTTTACTTTCTGTTACTCTCCTTTTTATGTGATTTAAAGAAGAGCAAAAACGTTTTAATGCAGGTCATTTAATCTGACTCTGAACCGCTGTTGAAGGTATGTTTTGTGTTTTTTTGCATTCTATAGATGGACAGGTAGCCCCTTCTTATTTAAATATTACGATCCCTAATACAAAGTGTGTGTTTCACTATCAAAGTCAGTGAAAGCCTTGGATGAAGCTGTGACATGATTAAAGACCTTTTGTCTCAGTTACATGAGAAACAGCAGCAGATCATAATAACAGATACTGAAGTCAGATATTAGAGTACAGGCACTAAACAAAGACATGGTGGGTTTCTCTTGTTTTTATTTCTTATCATATCTTTTGTTCTCTTTGGTCTGTATCTAACCCTCTGAGGGACATTTCTACCTTAGCACACTCAGCAGAGTGAACTTTAGTAAAACAAATCACAGACTGAGAAGAAAAACAATAAAATATTGTAAAAAAAATAAAATCTGTAATATGTAATAATCTGTAGCTCTGTGTGAAACCACATATTAACATACTGCCTACTACATGCTAGGATAAGTTGTACTGCATACAGCATGCTAACCTGACTGTCAGTATCCTGCATGAATTATGGAATGGTTACAGCGCTGGAGGCGGAGCCCCGTTTATGCGTATAAAAGCTGCTTGGTGGCACATGAAGCAAAAACAGTCGAACTCGTTACTGGGCCCACAGAGCACGTTCAGTACTGTGGCTCAGATCTGCGTTCATCATGTCGACAAAATATCTCTGAATTCAGCTTTAACTGTATTTAATAACTTTTAGGACCAAATTATTTATTTAAGTGTTCGTATCGGGAAGATGATGTACCTAAAAAGGAATGTATACACTGATTTATAGACGTCTCATTCCTGATACAAGCTTTTGGAAAAAGTCTCTTTGGGCCCAACGGCATCACCAGACGCTGCAATACCAGGTTTTGCCAACACGTAAAAATGACTCCCTTGGCTTGGTTAGGATCCCGTTAGCCTCAAACTAAACTACGGGTCATGTGATGTACTTCTGGTCCCAGCTACGTTGAATAAGCTAGCTTCAAGCTAGCACAATCCTCGCTGGGGGTTCAAATTAAAAACATCATGGGCTTCTGGACTATATATGGACTATACTAGATACTATGGCTTTAGATTTAGAGAACATAAAACATAGCATGTTATAGCTTACAGTCCTAAAGAACACTAATCGAGGACCCACGTAACGAGTCCTGATGTCTGGGAGTAAGTGACCAGTCAACATTACTTATTGACCCCTCCCCCCAATCAAAGCGGTTTAGACCCAGGTCTGATTTCAGAACGTACACAACCGTGGAGACACTAGAGGATGAAAAAAACAATCCCATAATAACAGAATCGTTCTTCCTTTGCGTTTTCAGACATCATCTGTCATCTTTCTGCTGAACACGGTGCTGATATTTACAGGCTTTATTGTGTCTCCTCAGCCAGTGAATGCAGCAGCGACCTCGTTGGTCGAGTGGGTCAGAACGTCACTCTGTCCTGTAAGTACAACACAAAGGAAAATGGAGCGCGTTCAGTGTGCTGGGGGCGAGGACTTATTCCATCATCAGGCTGCAACAACCAGCTGATCTCTACAGACGGACAGAAAGTGACCGAAGAAGCTTCCAGAAGGTATCAGTTGTTGGGTCGACTGGACGAAGGAGACGTTTCTCTGACCATCCTGAACCTCACAGAGACAGACGCTGGACGCTACGGCTGCAGAGTGGACATAAGGGGGTGGTTTAATGACGAAAAACACCACATTGTCCTGACCATAGACACAGGTGAGAAACTTGTTGGTTTGTTAATTTGTGAAGTTCAGTATGTAACTCTGACTGGCAGTGTTTAAAATGGGTTCTGCAGTCCATATTCTAGACGTTAAGAGAGCTTAAAACCACCTGCCTTCTCTGGTCCAAACAAATCCAGAGCATTCAGGACCAGAATCTAAAGTTAGAAGGAGGACATACTGGCTGCTGCATTGTTGTTGATGAAAAAAGTAGAATCTGTTCTACAGGTCTGAATTTTAGTTTGTGGAATATTCTGGTTTCTGTTTGCAGTACGTTTGTAGTCTGAGAAGTATCGACCAATCACGAATCTGCAGGCTTTGGAGTTTGTACGGCAAGCAAAAACAGGAGGAACACAATCCACCATGATGACTTCCTGTCACCCATGAGCATGAGAGAACAGCCAACAATCTGTTCTACACTTAAGTGAACAATCTGCACCATGTCTGAAAGCCAATCAGTGCTTAGATTTCCATTCTTCCTTGAATGCATCGGAAACGATTGAATTGAATTAACAACAAATACTTGAATTGAATTAATTAATTGTTTCGAAATTACGAAACATGAAACTGAGGAGAGGTACAGAGACTTTAGAGCTAATGCTAATGCTAACTCTTGTAAATAAACAAAGTTTTATACATCTGAATTTCTTGGTTCATCACGAGGAGCGTTCATCAGTTTCTGTTGAGTCTCAGTTTAACAGTAAATAATAAGTCACACAGAGGCTTCACTCTGGATCACTTCAGACGTCTGACAGCTTCCTAAATGTTTGTTGGATGGAGGTCAGAGCGATCACTTCAAGGACGTCAGGAAATCTAAACACTGATGGGCTTTGTGACACAGTCGAGTAGATTTGTGGCTCTAATAAAATGTTTGTATCTAAGTTTGAAGTTCAAAGAAGATTTCCGGTTATAAGTAAAAAATTCCTCATGAGAATACTGTCGACGCTAAGACACTTTTTGGTTCCGTCCTGACATAGATTTTGTGTTTCAGATGAACAATCAACCACAGAAACAACACAAAACACAGAGACGACGACAGGACCAACATACAACTACACAGCAGGTACAACTGTAACACACACACTGACACACACGTACACACACACACGTACACACACACACACACACACATACAGTCACATGTCAGTCCGCATCAGTTCGCACAGATTTCAGCTCAGTCATGTGTTTTTCCTTCGTGATGACATCATCCACTGACACAGCTGCACTCACAACATCTGCTTTCACTTCTTGGTTCTGCAGGTCAGCTGACCTCTACAGAGAGCGCAGTGACTTCCTCCTCAGCCGGCATGAAGGGCGAGGTGAGATGGTCTAACTTCTTGTGTCAAAAAAACAGAACATTTTCCGACTTGCTTTTGTATGTGTGTTTATGTATATGTGTGTATGTGTGTTTTACAGCAGCAGGAGAGCAGCAATCTGATGCTCGTTCTAGTGTTGGTTTTGTTGGTGCTGATTAGTATGGCAACAGCCGGCGTAGTCCTCTATATCAGTAAGTCAGACATCAACAGTGTCCGTACACCTGTAAGCTATTCTGTCCTCATCTGTCCTCACATCTGTCCTCACACTGGCCCTTAAGCCTGTATACAGTCCTGTCATCAAGATGACCCTCAATTCTTCCTCATGTCCGTGTGCAGCTCTGTTGTTATGGGCAGCTGTGCCTCAGTTGGTAGAGTCATCGCCTCTCAACCGAAAGGTTCAGGGTTCTTTCCCCAGCTGGGCAACATGTCCGATGTGTCCTTGGGCAAGACACTTAACCCTGAATTGGTCCCACTGCTTTGGTGGTGGTGTGTGAATGGGATTAGTTACTTCTGATGGATGATACTACATAGCGATCACTACCATCAGTGTGTGAATGGGTAGGTGTGACATGCAGTGTAAAAGCGCTTTGAGTAGTCGGAAGACTAGAAAAGCGCTATATAAGTCCATTTACCATTTGTTATGTCTGTCTGTCTCATTTTGACTTCAAATTTGTCCTCATATCTGTCCTCACGTTTGTCTTTAACTTTGTCCTCATCTTTATCTTCATATTTTTCCTCATCTTTGTCCTCATCCTTTACCTCACACCTGTCCTCACATCACATGCATTCAGTCTTGTCCTCAGGACAACCCTCACTTCTTTCTTATGTCCATCTGCAGCTCTGTCCTCATATCTGTCTTCATGTCTGTCCTGGTGTCTGCCCTGGTGCCTGTCCTCATGTCTGTCTTCATGTCTGTCCTGGTGTCTGTCCTGGTGCCTGTCCTCATATCTGTCTTCATGTCTGTCCTGGTGTCTGTCCTGGTGCCTGTCCTCATGTCTGTCTTCATGTCTGTCCTGGTGTCTGTCCTGGTGCCTGTCCTCATGTCTGTCTTCATGTCTGTCCTGGTGTCTGCCCTGGTGTCTGTCCTCATGTCTGTCTTCATGTCTGTCCTGGTGTCTGTCCTGGTGCCTGTCCTCATATCTGTCTTCATGTCTGTCTTGGTGTCTGCCCTGGTGCCTGTCCTCATATCTGTCTTCATGTCTGTCCTGGTGTCTGCCCTGGTGTCTGTCCTCATGTCTGTCTTCATGTCTGTCCTGGTGTCTGTCCTGGTGCCTGTCCTCATATCTGTCTTCATGTCTGTCCTGGTGTCTGTCCTCATGTCTGTCTTCATGTCTGTCCTGGTGTCTGTCCTCATGTCTGTCTTCATGTCTGTCCTGGTGTCTGTCCTGGTGCCTGTCCTCATGTCTGTCTTCATGTCTGTCCTGGTGTCTGTCCTGGTGCCTGTACTCATGTCTGTCTTCATGTCTGTCTTCATGTCTGTCCTGGTGTCTGTCCTGGTGCCTGTCCTCATATCTGTCTTCATGTCTGTCCTGGTGTCTGTCCTGGTGCCTGTCCTCATGTCTGTCTTCATGTCTGTCCTGGTGTCTGTCCTGGTGCCTGTCCTCATGTCTGTCTTCATGTCTGTCCTGGTGTCTGTCCTGGTGCCTGTCCTCATCTCTGTACTCATGTCTGTACTCATGTCTGTCTTGGTGTCTGTCCTGATGTCTGTCCTCATGTCTGTCCTGGTGTCTGTCCTCATGTCCGTCCCCCTTAACCTGAGGATGAAGCTGTGGTCTGTCCGACATGATTGAGGTCCTGTGAATGTGACCCAGTTTTATATTTAGAAATATTTCAGCCTTTCTCTCCATGACTCTAAACTGCTTCAATTGAGATCGAATGTGACTCTGTTTCCTTTCACCTGATCTCTCTATTTGTAATGGTTTCACATCCTCCTGTTTCCCTCTTATAGTGACATTTATAGATTCTGCTCCCTCTCATGAAGAACTGGCATGTTGTTTTTTAACGTTGGATCTTTACGGCTCTCTTTAAACTCTGCGTCAGTCACAGTGAACTTTCCCCCTGGTTAACATGTTTTTTATGTCTTTGTGTCTCTGCAGCGAGACGATGGAGGCGACTGAACAAAATGTAAGTTTCATAATGTGACTCTGAGATTGGGAAACGTGAACTTCTCCTTCTCGTCTCAGAGCATCGTTACAGCCGAGGACGTCGGGGTTGATAAAAGTCATTACTCAGCACATCTCATGAGTCGACAGATTCACCCGGGGGTCTGAGACCACCAACAATCGACATCCTCATCCTGACGTGTTTCACGCCGTTCAGCGAATCTTCGCTGAGTTCAGAATGAAACTCCTCAAACCTCAGTGAGAACAGAAACTCTGACTTCAGAGGAAACACTTGATTCATTCAACATTTCCAACAGTCGAGCTGCTGACACTCCTCGAATCAGTCTGACAATACGTTCATCACAGTTTATTATCATCAACACATTTTGTTACAGTTGCTGCACAATCCTGATTAGTCCAATAAATTCAACAAATTAAACAAAAAATAAATAAATGGAGTTAAAAAAAGACACGCATCATTTAGTTTTAAATCCCTGAGAGAACGATAAACACTACAAACTTCAGGTGAATGTGGTTTTAAATCAGAAAGATCAGAAAGCTTAAAAATATGTTCGATGTCAAACTTGACTTGACTCACAAGACATACGATTGTCAAGCTATAAAAACATGCTGCTCGCTTCCCCTGGCAGGAATTTATAAGTTAGGCAACAAGCTTAGCGTGACCACACTTCCCAGTTTGACCCAGACATCCCAGTTTATTAGGCTCCTATAAACCCTATTATGTCCCTTTTTTGAATCAACCAAAACAACACACCATGCTAACAACACTGATTTGTCTGTAAATATGTCGATCAATGTCGTTACTGCTGCTGTATTAACCAATAGACAAACATCACACGAGTCAGAGGTCTACCAGCAAATGAAGATGCAGCGGAACAGGGACTGTTCAAAACTGGGACATGTTAGGGCTTTATAGCTGTTTATGTGGACTTGGGACACACAGCTGAAAAACGGGTATGGTCACGCTACCCCTGCTCCCCGTCGTTATGCTAAGCTAGCTAACTGTTAGTGCTGTCTTCATCATACATATGAAAACGATTTCACTCTGAAGTCTTTTTCATGAAAAGATGAGGTGCTTTACGACGCTGCTCAGAATAACATATATGATTTATAGTTACCACGAACCGGAAGTTTCACAGATGGAGAGCGATGAAGGGAAACCTCTGAGTTTCCTCTGATCATACTGATGATGAAGTGACATTCAGAGAGCGCTAAGGCGCTCGGACTGCAACCGACACGACCACAAATGTCAGTGCATAAATTCGTCAACCTGAAGACGGCAGTTATAAAACCACTCGAAGATGTTTATCAAAGAACCCTAACCACAGTTTAGACACATGAGACCCTCTGCAGCTACAGGACGAGCAGCTGCTGTCACAAGACCAAGAAACTGTATTCACTGCAGTTATTTAAAGGAGCAGTATGTAACTCTGACCCCTAGTGTTTAAAATGTGTACTGCAGTCCAAATTCTAAACATTGTAGAGAGCTGTCTCCCCCCTCCTCTCTAAAGTCGATGCTCACACAGGTTGCCATGTTGTGGACACTGAAGCTTCAGTGTTTATCCAGCTCTGCATCGGTCTGTAAACCTTTCTGTGATCTAACCTCTCTCCATTTTTCAAAATCATCTCCAATATTGATCCTAGTTTGAGCACGTTTCTGCTCGTGGAGCTTATTAGAAACATGCAGAGGCTTTTTAGGTCGGGTACAATCACTTCTATCTGAACCAGTTCTCTTGCCCGCTTCCATCGCTGCAACACCTGTTGGTTTGACCTGATAACTGCTCTCATATCTGGCAAACTGAGGGGCGTCCAAAACGGCCGTGTGGGGGTGCCTTAAAACCGCCAAACAAATCCAGAGCATTCAGGACCAGAATCTAAAGTTAGAAGGAGGACATACTGGCTGCTTCATTGTTGTCAGAGAAGCCAGCACTTCAACATAGCATGTTTCCTTAATGTCTGATCATATAGTGAGGTCACTTTATTATTTCACTCACTACACATCTTACTGATTGGACCTTTAAGAAGATAATAATCAGTCAATAATTTAATTTAAGAATTGAAATGATGGTTGAATTCAAAGCAGGCTGAAGTTAAAGTGAGTTTGTTTCTTTGTTTCAGTCCTCCGCAGCAGGTCAGCAGTACGGTTGAGTTCAATCAGACCTCGTCCACGCTACAGCTCCACAGACGAGGATCAGCCGTGGAAAACATCTACCAGCTGGACGGAGGAGAGTATGAGTACTGCCCCTGAGCCCTGAAGCTCCGCCCACTGAACACATGACCAGCTCTGGACATAATCATGACTCATCACCAGAGCTCCTGCAGTTCCTCTAACTGCCACCAGGAGAACATTTAAAGGGGCAGCTTGGGGAATTGCTGGAGGGCACAACCAATCAGGGAGCTTCAAGCTATTCTATCGTCTTAAGAACAGAGAGAATACTTTATCTAGGTCTATCTTTATCTCTTGTCCAAAAATGGTCACTTCTGGTTCCTAAAATAAAGATTCTTGTAACTTTTTTTTGTTTTATTTTAATTTAAAAAATGAGCATTGTGTCTGACTTCATTTTTTCAGGTATTTTATTTCAATAAATTCTGATAAAAACATATACTTTACAGATTTGAGAGATTTTCTACGGAAGTCCTGAAGGGCCGAAGCCATATTTTGAATTTGAGTCCGTTTTTCTGTCATAATGAGAAATCTCTGTTTGTTTTCTAAACATCACAACATTGTTTTTTCATGCTAAGTTTATGTCTATGATATCTGCAGAAAAAAGACGAAAATTAACTCTTTATAAAAAAACGGCGTCATCCTGAGAGCACAACATAAAAGTCAAGATCTCACGAGAACATCTGAATTTACTCGAGATCAAAGGAAAACCTTGTGTATAACTCGTAAAATGATATAAACGAGGAAATCTCCAGAAAACAATCAGATCTAACTCGTTATCTCAGGAAAAAGAGATTTAATATCTCGATATGTAAACGAGTCAAGATGTCAGGAAAACAACCGAATGATCTCGTTAACGTGAGAAACCAGCGTTAGCTCGTAACACGCTACGACCAGATGAAGATGCTATCTCAGGAAAAGCAACGTTTTTTGTTGTTTCTTTTCCTGATAAATCCGTTGAGATCAACTCAGTTATCTTACGTTTGTCCTCTCAGGGCTTCTGTAGTTTTCCGTATTAAGAGAATTACAAAAACATATATGATATAAAAAACATTTATATTTTCTTCATCTCGTTCAGTTCAGTGTTTGTGATTTTAAATAGAGAAGCCTCTGAGAGACTCCGCCTCCAGGCTCCTCACCTGAGAAATGACATCAGACAAGTTGGACAGGTTGATCAGAAACCTCCGTCTGACCTCATCCTCCAATCAGAGAGCGGCTCATCAGTCTCTGAGTCCGACTCACACAGGTAAGATCCTCACCTGTTTCTCATTCTTTTCTTCTTTGGTGGTTTTGATCAGATTAGATGTTGATAAAGCTCTCTGATGATCATCTTTGTGTTCTGCTCTTTGTTGTGACTGAATATGAAACATGTTGCTGTTTTAGTTTTGAACTTTGTGACCATCACAAACTAACTCACTGATCTGAATCTCTGATTACTATTAGGAACTGAACCGCAGGATTTAAATTGAGGGTGTGTTCGAATTGTCATTTTAGCTTAGGAATGTTCCTAACTGAGTGAAATGACCCAGAAGCATTTAAGTGGCGGCCATGATGAGAGCCGTTCGAATTCTCTAAAAGCTAAGGAAAGGTGGGTCAATGCTTCCTTTATAACATCCTTTAGCATAGGTTACACTAGATCATCCTTTACCAAAGGAGATGAGATATGCTGCCCCACAATTCCTTGCGGCCGCATTTAAAGTGAGTTGCGCATCCGACCGTTCACGAAAATGAACGATGATTGTAAAGTGACACAGATCATGTAAGAGATAAAAAGATAAGAGACATTTTTATCCAGATGATGTTTTATTCAACATATTTCATTCACTTAAGAATGTTTTGTACAGTTGTACGTTTGTATGCTTAAAACATTCTGTGTAGGTTATATCTTGCAGAAATGTAACAATTAATTTCATATTTATTTTGATGTTGATTTCTGAGTGGACAGGAAGCTGATGGTTTCACTTTTCTCACTTGTAGCCTGGTAGTCTGTATTGCTTTTATTTCAATCCCAACCTTGTGGTAATTAGGATTATTTCACCGGTTAAAAGGCACAGGGGAATGTTTTTTAGATGCGTTTTTTGTAGTCCATTTTCTGAACATTGTAGTTTCAACACGGCAGACACACGTCATTAACCTCCACCGGCCCGTCGCATTTGATTACGTCGCCTAGTGGAAAATGTGGTCGGATTGTCAGAGCAACAAGATCGCCTTTCCCTAAGTCCTTTATGAATTCTCCTAACATCTTTCCTTAACCTCATGACGTTTTCCCCGGGGTTAAGGTAAAGTGGATAGTGAAAGGAGATAGGGGGTACAATTCGAATGCACCCTAAGGTCCTAAGCTTCCATCTACAGGAAGCTGTTTACTGTATTTCAAAATAAAAGCAACGTTTAACTCAAACAGCAAGTCAAGTACTCTCAGCTTAAGACAGTTACATGATAGTCTGACAGCCCTCCTTCTGACACATGAGCGTACTTGTTTTGTGAAGATTTACGTTCACGATGTAGCAGCTCGTTTAGGCTTGGTTCAAAAGGAAGTATATTTGACCTTTACACATATTCTAAACAGTCAGTATGAATTGTGTACATGTGTGTGTAGTTGTTTGTGTGTCCTGTGTTGTGCTGCAGAATGAACTTGTCCGTGCGCACGCAGCCTCGTCCTCTGGGGGCTTTCTCTGATGACGTGGCAGAGTGGAGCTCTGGGATCTGTGACTGCTGCAACGACACCAGAGAATGTAAGCTCACACTTTCTATACTGCTGGTTCCCCAACAGTGACATAAAAATATCATAGACAATATTTTTTCAGTCATATGTCATAATATACACAACAGAGACAGGGACATCACCGACTGACGCGATTTTCTTACAGTCTGTTTACCTGTTGCAGACGTAACAGCCCATTTACCTGTTGCAGGCGTTACAGCCTGTTTACCTCGTTACAGTCTGTTTACCTGTTGCATATGTTACAGCGTGGTTTCTAATTACCAAGAATTGTGTTTGTGTGTTTCAGGCTGTTTTGCGTTCTGGTGTTGTCCCTGCTTTGCCTGTATCACCTCTAAAGCACTCGGTCAGTGTCTCTGTCTCCCCCTGCTTGACATCTGCGGCGCCTGCACCTGCCCCATCACCATGTCCATGAGGGTCTCTGTACGCCACCGCTATGGCATCAGAGTGAGTACAGAACTGTTCATCTATATTCAGTGTGTGTGTGTTTATCCTGACACCTTTGTGTGTGTGTGTGTGTGTGTGTGTGTGTGTGTGTGTGTGTGTGTGTTCAGGGCAGCCTGTGCACAGACTGTGTGTGCTCCGTCTTCTGTCAATCCTGCGTCTGGTGTCAGATCTCCAGAGAGATGAAGAGCAGGGAACTTCCCGCGGTGCTGGGTGACATCATCAGCCGCTGATGACATCATGGCTTTAACATCGTTGCCTCCTGTCCATCCTCGTACATATCGACGAGCTCTTTAATGTTTAGATAACTCATGTTTGACTTCATGTGTGAATGACTGTGATTGTTTAAATGTTTCCTGACTTCATGTTTGTGTTTATTTATTTTAAAGTATTTTTATTTCTTTGATTTTGCAACACTTATTTCATTTATCCTGAAATGTAATAAAACACTTCCTGAAGGTGTCCTATGAGTTTATGATCCTGCAGCGTGGCGAGGAGGCGGACGTTTCATATCGAGGATCTGTGTGTTTATATCATTTGTTTTTAACGGTAAAAAGAGAATTGAGTGTTAAGTTTCTCCACATGTCTCTCAACTGTTCATCTCCTTCCACTGGTTCAGTTACAGCACGCATCAAATGTAAAACTCTGCTGCTCGCTTACAAACGTCTCCTCCGTCCGTAAACTCTCTGATCCAGGTCTACGCTCACTCCCGCCCTCTACGCTCCGCCAATGAAAGGCGTCTCGAGATCCAACAAGAGATTCACAACAGGGTCCTGAGTCTCTAATTAGATTCTTATCCTCTGTCGCCCCTCGGTGGTGGAACGAACTACCAAATTAATTTGATCTGCAGAGTCCCTTTGCACCTTTGAGAAAAAGCTAAAGACCCACGAACACCTACGACCTTAATCGTGCTGCAAAAAAATTGTTCTGTGCTATGAATGATTTACGTCATCACACAGGTGCACCTCCATTACAGCAGCAGTATCAGATAATCAGGTGTTTTAAACTGTTTATCAAAACAATTTATATTTATATGCACATATTTCTGCTGCTTTATTCTACAATTCTATAATTCTACAATTCACTTTGATTCACTTTTATGCAAAGCGACATACATCAGAGAGTAAGTACAACACAAGCAAGGATCTAGAAAAAACAATGTCAGTAAGAGCAAATGATCAGCTTTGAGTCCGATTGGACACACAGGTGCTGACAGGAAGTGACCAGAGGCAGAGCACAACATTGAGGGCAGTTCTTGAGAGCTCTAATCAATATAGAAACCATCTTATAAGTCATCGTTATCAAACAAAAACCATCGTCATTACCATCATCATCATCAATAATATCGAGACCATCATCATTAAGTTAGTAGGTATTCATGAAAGAGCTGGGTCTTTAGCTTTTTCGTAAAGGTGCAGAGGGTCTCTGCAGATCGAATGGAGTTTGGAAGTTCATTCCACCACCGGGGGGCGACAGAGGAGAAGAGTCTAGTCAGAGACTTAGGACCCTGTTGTGAAGGTTGGATCAGACACCTTTCATTGGCAGAGCGTAGTGGGCAGGAGGGAGTGTAGACCTGGATTATAGAGTTTAGGTAAGGAGGAGCTGTTTTTGACGCTGTTTTGTAAGCGAGCAGCAGAGTTTTAAATTTGATGCGAGCAGTAACTGGGAGCCAGTGTAAGGAGATGAACAGCAGAGTGACGTGTGCTCTTTTAGGAAGGTTGAAGACCAGTCGTGCTGCTGCATTTTGTATCATCTGCAGAGGTTTGATAGTATGTATGTATGTAGGAAGACCTGCCAGTAGAGAGTTGCAATAGTCGATGTGTGATATCACAAGAGCCTGTACCAGGAGCTGTGTAGCATGTTCTGACAGGTAAGGTCTGATCTTCCTGATGTTGTACAGGGCAAATCGACAATTGAGGCTACTTGAATCTTAAAAGTTAGCTGGTCATCAATCATGACACCCAGGTTCCAGGCAAACTTTGGTTGTTCCAAGCTGGATATTGATCTGTGGTTGCATAGAGGGACTGGCTGGGATAACAAGGAGCTCAGTCTTTGAAATATTGAGTTGAAGGTGGCGTTCATTCATCCATTTAGAGATATCAGCAAGGCATGACGAGATTCTTGCTGAGACTGTAACATCGTCTGGTGGGAATGACGGGAAGTGGTATCGTCAGCATAGCAGTGGTATGAGAAGCCATGAGAGCAGATTATTGAATCAAATGGAGAAGAGAAGGGGACCAAGCACTGACCCTTGAGGTACCCCTGTGGATAAGCTGTGCGCTTTGGACACTTCTCCCTTCCACGACACTCTAAAGGATCGCCCAGAAAGGTAGGACACGAACCAGCAGAGGGCAGATCCTGAGACGCCAAGTTCAGAGAGCATGGATAGGAGGATTTGATGGTTGACTGTGTCAAAGGCAGCAGAATAGCAGTAATAGAACTGAGGACTGACCCGCAGCTCTGGCAGCTCGTAGCGATTCTGTTACTGACAGTAATGCAGTTTCAGTAGAGTAGCCCCACTTAAAGCCTGACTGATTTGGGTCAAACAGATCGTTTCTGGACAGAAACTCAGAGACTTGCTTAAAGACTGTGCTCAAGTATTTTTGACAGAAAGGGCAGAAGAGAAACCGGTCTGTAGTTTTCAACCTGGGCTGGGTTTAGTGTGGGTTTTTTGAGCAGAGGGGTGACCCGAGCTTGCTTGAATGCGGTGGGGAACACACCCGTTGACAGAGAGGAGTTGATGATATGCTTAAGTGCAGCATTAAGCAGAGAGGAAATGGTCTGCAGGAGGCTTGATGGTATTGGGTCCAGAGGACAGGTGGTGGGCCGAGAGTCTAGCACAAGCTTAGAGATTTCGTCCTCAGTCAGAGAGGAGAATGAGTCGAGTGAGGCACTTTTGGTTGGTGCCTTTGGGCTGAGTTGGGCAGAAAACTGGTTACTGATGGTTGCAACCTTTTCAGTAAAATACGAGGCAAACATGTCTGGTGTGAACAGATCGGAGGGTGGAGGAGGAGGTGGTTGAAGCAGTGAGTTAAAAGCAGAAAACATTTTTCTTGTGTCTGTGGCATTGCATATCTTGATCTGATAATATGGTGTCTTGGCCGTTTTTAGGCTGGAGGAGAATGAGACAAGTCTTTGCTTATAGTCATTGAGGTCAGCGGACTGTTTGGATTTTTGCCATTTTCTCTCTGCTGACCTCAGCCCTGCTCTTTGCTCTCTTATGACTTCCGTGAGCCATGGGCTAGGGTGGGTTTTGCGAGCGAGTTTGGACACCAGAGGGCAGAGCTTGTTCAGAGATGAGGCTAGTGTGGAGCAGAGTGTGTCTGTAGCCTCGTCTGTAGAGAGTGCGGTAAAGACCTTTTGGGCAGGCATGGCAGCCATTACCTCATTAGACAGCTGAGTTGGCTTGAGCGATCGCATGTTTTGGTGGTATGACACCATTTGTGGCTGTGCCTGAGGGAGTTCCGGCAAGGAGATTGTGAATTGAATAAAGAAGTGGTCTGATAGATGCAGAGGGGTGACAGTCAGGTTTGCTGTCGAGCAGTTCCGAATCAGGATTAAATCAAGAGTGTTGCCAGCTTTGTGGGTAGGAGGAGTTGGGACCTGCGTGAGGTCAAATGAGGATAGGAGACCAAGGAAGTCTGTTGCCTGGGCTTTATCAGTGTGTATATTCATGTCTCCCATTACAATCAGTGGTGTGCCATCATCAGGGATTTCTGAGAGTAGCATGTCCAGTTCCACAACAAAATCATTCAGATTACACCCTGGTGGGCGGTAAATAATAGCAATGTACATTTTAATAGGAGCAGTAACCAAGATTGTGTGATATTCAAATGAGGAGTTGTTGCTCAGTGGGAAGAGTTTATTGAATTTCCAGGTATTAGAAATGAATTTACCTGTACCACCTCCACGTCCAACAGAGCGGGGTTGTGTGGGGTTATTGTGTGTAGTGTAACTGTAACGAACGATTGTCCCCCTGAGGATTAATAAAGTCTTTCTGATTCTGAAAGTGCAGTCTGTTGTTATCCTCCGGTCCTCTGGGGGGGGCGCTGTTGTGTTCTGTACTGAGATGAACAGAAGAAGAAGAAAGTCCAACACGTGCGGCTTCCCCACAGACTGCTGGTTGTGTTAGCACTCGGAGAACTCAGATCGGAAACCATTCAACGTTTATCGATAATTATTTGATTAATTTGGATCCGAAATGACGAAGACGAAGAAGGAGAAGCTTCCGGTGGACGCAGAGGAGCCGGTGGCTGCGGACGGGACGGAGAGGTCGTACCAGGATCTGGTCGCTAACGTGAACCCGATCGCTCAACCTCTGGCCTCCAAAAAACTCAGCAAGAAGCTCTACAAATGCGTCAAAAAGGGTACAATGAAATCCTCCTCTCTGCTGTCCGTTCACTGTTTTATTCAGAGATCACCAAATCCCTTTTTAAATCTGCAGGTTTTTACTTTCTCCGGTGTGTTTGCAGACTTTCCGGCCGCAGCAGGTCGAGAGTTTGGATTCATATTTAATCTTTAGATTCTGCTGATTAATTCGGCTCATAATTATTTTTAATTAAAAGCCATCATAGAGGTAGTGTTGCTATCAGCTGCTGCTCTGCGGGTTCATGTGATTTAAAGGAAACTGTTCCAAACTAGGTTTATAAAATAACGAGTTTAACTCTAGTTTGTTTGTTGCAGAGTTTTTACACTCTGTATGTGATCAAATCAGATCTTGTATGAGTCGTTGGACTATCAATAATAATTGTGCTTACGTCATATCAATAATGAGATGTTGTCCTGAGTCCTGCATGCACAGAAAGGCGTGGTGACGTCATACTGATGATGATGTTTATTCTGTTGCAGCGGCCAAAGTGAAGAACATCCGCAGAGGAGTAAAAGAAGTTCAGAAGTTCATCAACAAAGGAGAGAAGGGGTGAGGCGGCCATGTTTGTCACATGTCATTAATCACATGCATGCTACACTGCAGGTGTAAACTAACCTTAAGTGTGTGTGTGTGTGCGCAGGATCGTGGTGTTGGCTGGAGACACGCTGCCCATCGACGTGTACTGTCACCTGCCCGTCATGTGCGAGGACAGGAGCATGCCGTACGCCTACATCCCCTCTAAAGTGGTGAGACAAACACACCTCTGGTCCAACCTGTGTTAGCGCTCTGCAGCAGATGAACTAACAATATCAAAATGTCATGATGTGATAATATTGAACATGGAGGAGGGCGATGAAACGGGTCACATGACCTAAACAAACATGTCACTCTCCATATCAGGGTTAAGCAAACACTTCCTGTATAGTATTGGGCATGGCTGGACCTTCTCCTCGCCGAGTGGCTTCTCGTGTTCCTCGTCGTCTAGGTCACCTCCGTGTCGGTGTCAGCATCTTTTCCCCCCCTCTCATTTCTCAACA